CTTTTTTAAAGGTGCACAATGTAGATGCAAGTGTAGATGCAAACTTAAACTATCGACTTGCACTACCTTTTCTACCTTGAGTTCTCTCTCCAATCCCCTTATATTGTTAACAAATTGAATTTAATATATGTAGGAAAAGGTAATTAAGAGCAGCAAATAGAACCTAATGCTGAATTTGGCACATGAAATTTAAGTGTATGCTAATATGGGGGAGCAGTGCTGAAATTATTCAATAATGAGAGATTGTGGTCATGACAAAGTGTAATTAAATAATATGTTCTTCTTCCTGCATAAATTCCTTTATGGGTATTGATGATATTTGTGTCTTTTGCTTTTAATTTATAAGTTTAATGTAATATATATTTTTTCCTCAAAGTGGTTTTGCATATTGGTATTGGAAGTGGCTTTGAAATTACATCTAGGTCTATCTGAACATCATGCGTATCTTCCTTTTTTCGTTTCTTAATGTTTGATTTGATTTCACTTGCTAGCTAATGTTAATGTTCTCTTTTAGGATCCATGCTAGTGCTCTCTTATGTGGCTTTTTTTTTCTTTTAATTTCTGCTTTTATGAATGATAATATACTCAAAATTTAATATTTATAATAAATGAGAATAAAAAAATAAAAAGTATTTTTAGAAATATTTATGTATATATGTTTTACTTTCAAGGTTAATTTTTTAAATTGTGTTGTCATTGTTATATATTATTATAATAATATTAATTAAAATGTTAATCTAATGATGTAAGAACTTAAGTCAGTTAAGTAGTTATTTTTGTTATGTTCATAATTAGTAAAATCTGAGCGGATTTTACCTTTTTTAATTAATTGTAGTGTGACTTCGTGAATTCCTTGCTTTCTAATTTTAGAGCACATGTATTATTATAATAATATTCCTGCAAACACACACAAAGATGATGAAAATGAATTATTAATTTGCAATGTTTTTTCTTCGTTGAGAGCACTTTTTCTTTCACCATATACAAATGATTGAAGTGTCTATTACTATTTCTTATATTAGGTTGAGCTTTGGTGGTCAAATTGCAATACGAAAAAAAAAAGTTGGTAAATATTTTTTGAGGTATTTATCTTTAAAGAGAAAAATAAAAAATTATAAATATTTCTATTTGAATTTGATTCTAAGATTAAATTATTAGGAAATGATATTTTTTGTAGTGAAAAAAATATTATTATATTAAAAAAAAATACAAATATAATTAAGAAGTAAAGTGCTAAATTAAAATAAATCATTATTGACCTTTAATTTTAATGGGGAAAAAATATATAAATTTTCCTTATTTAACTTTAAATTCATCGCCTTTATTTTTCTACTCGTTGAAGTAGTTAAATAATTTAGGACTTATTGTTCGATTTGCATTATTTTTATCTTTAAAAGTTACTGTCTTTTTAAATAATTAGCTTAATTCTTTGATAACGTTCCTTAATTAATTTTCATTATTATTGTCTTATCTAATCTTACAATTAAATATTATGCTTTAATGTTTTTCATCTACATATTAAACACTTAAGATTATATTTAGCTGTAATATTAAAGTTTTCATTAATACCTATTAAGTAAAATATCATTATACTTTTAGAAACAATGTAATTAATATGATTAAAAAGAGCTGACTCAAGGGATGTTTTGGTCTTTAACCGAGACTAGTTTTCTGATTGAAAATGATGGTTTAATAAAAGCTCTTTAGAGTGCAACAATCCGATCAACTTCAGCCGCGACAAAACAATTTTAAATTATGATTTTTAATATCTACTTAAGACCAAGTGCTAAAAAGTTAAAAAAAATAATTAATTTAAAATTATAAATTTTGATATTATTAATATATTAGATTTTACAATATTCTATTAATTTTAATAAAAAAATTAGTGTATATAAATTTTTAATATATTTTCTTGAGTTAGCGGTGAGAGAGTGAACAACAACTGCTATGAATTAACTTTATATAATAAAGCTTTGATCATATTTTTGGTTTAATGTCAAGTCAGACTATGTTTCGTATTTAAGGGAGGCGAAATTATTTTTTTATTTTTAATTTGTCTATTTCATCTAAAATAAAGATAAAATCAACGAGAACATGACACACGTGTTTCGTATATAATAGAGACGAAAAGATAAAATAAAAATTTAAATTTAAGTTTGCAATTATACAGACACACATGACCCAGTCAGGGGAGGGAGAGAAAAATAAATGAATTGTGCTAATAGGAAGATAGAAAAAAAATAAATGAATTGTGATGTGTGAATGGTAGAGTTACGAAAAAATATTAAATGAGATTAGTGATGGAAAGAGAGAAAAATAAATGAATTGTATTAGTGGGAAGAGAGAGAAAAATAAAAAAATAAAATATTTATTTTTGTTTTTAATAAATAAATAAATAATTCAGGAAATATGCCAATCAGGTGAGGGAGAGAAAAATAAATGAATTGTGCTAGTGGAAAGAGAGAAAAATAAATGAGTTGTGCTGTGTGAATAGTGTAGAGTTACAAGAAAATATTAATTGAGATTAGTGATGAAGAGAAAAATAAATGAATTGTGTTAGTGGGAAGAGAGAAAAAAATAAAAACAATAAATTATTTATTTTTGTTTTTAATAAATAAATTAATAATTCAGGAAATATATTTATTTTTTATTTTTTTAATAATTTATTGTGTTAGTGGGAATTATAATTATTAAATAATTCCCTGAAAAATAAATAATTTATTTTTTATTTATTTTTCTCTCTCTTCACTGCTAATCTCATTTAATATTTTCTTGTAACTCTACCATTTATACAGTATAATTCATTTATTTTTCTCCCCCTCCCCTGATTGGGTCACATGTGTATGCAGCACTGCAAACTTAAATTTAAATTTTTATTTTACCTTTTCGTCTCTATTGTATATGAAACATGTGACACGTGTCACGTTCAGATTGATTTTGTCTCTATTTTAGATGAAATAGACAAATTAAAAATAAAAAAAATGATTTTGTTTCTCTTAAATACGAAATATAGTTTGACGTGACAAAAATTTATCCCAGACAGAAAATATATATATTTTATTTTATTTTAATAAATAATTATTAAAAAATCATTAAGCCCATATTTTCCTCATTGTTTGATAGCGAAAATAAAAAATTACAAAGAATGGAGAAAAGGAGAGATTCGAATCAACGTTGATGTGGCTTTGACAAAGATTGAAGCATTTGTTTTTGACGACTTTGACAAGGATGGTGATGGCCCTTGAAAGTTCCCAATATTTTGAAAGGAGATACTCATAAGTCTATTTCAAGATTAAAAAATATTAACCAATAACAAAGAAATTAAAATTAAAATATTTATTTTCATTATTTTAACATAAAATTATTATTTAATTAGTATCTTAGAAATACTAATTAATAAGGCCTTTAAAAGTTTTCATCGAGTTTGGATGGGTTGCTTGGTGTTGTCAATAATGTTCTGAGTAAGTAAAAGTGAAAGCACCAATTTCAGCAGTGGTGGGGCATTTAGGAGAGAACAACACACAATACATATGCACTAGATATCATATTTGGGATTGTACCACTTTGTATAAATATATAAAATTTACAGTTTGAAATATAAAAATGTATTAAGAATTTTTTATTAATTAATAATTTCTTATCAATAATATATTTAATACAATATGCGTATTTTTTTTTACTAAACAAGCTCCTCTATACTCTAATTTTTTTCAGAGTAATGACTATTTCACTTAATAAAATTTTATTAATTTAATTATTTAATAAGGTGATGTATTTATTTTAATGTTAAATTTTAAAATAAATTTGTCCAATAATATGTTAATTAATTTATTTAAGATTTTGTTAATCTTTAGTTCTTATGACAAGAATAAACAATTGATAGTAGTCCAATTTTATTAAAAAAATATTTACTATAATTTTATAACTTCAATATAATAAATATTTATATTTTTTTAAATAATTTTTTATATATAAACTCAATTTTAATGATTGAAATTAATAAAATTTATTTTTTATTTATATATTTTTTTGTTGACTTGATCTTTTAAGAATTTTTATTAGTTTAATAATAAAATTGGAAAAATTAAGTGTTTATCAAAAGTTATTAAAGAATAACTTGATATCCTCGTTTGTTTAATTTTTAATTAAATTTATACGGTATGTTAATAATTTATGATTTCATTTAAGAATTAATAATAATAAAATTCAACTACATAGTAATTAAATTATAAAATAATATTTTATAAAATAAGTAATAAAGTAAAATTAATTAATTTAAATAAAAGGAAAAAGAAAACAGTTAAACTTTAAACACAAGTAATACGAACGTACTATTTTGTTGTTATAAATTTTTTAAAACAAATAAATATGTAAAATTGAAATATAAATACCTAAAGAGAACATATTGGTGATTATTGAATGTATTATTCGAGGAGATGATTTAACCGTAACAAGAGCGCAAAAAAATAAAAATTAAACGTTGTTTTATTATACATATTTTTATTTGAATGAATTTATTTATTTGCATGTTGAAATTATAGAATTTTAAGCTTAGAGGTAAAAAAAGAAAAATAGATACAATAATATTTTAATATATTACAATCGAATCTACATATGATATGTTTACAAAATCTAAAAGACTAATCCTTATTTATAATAATTATGATATTAGTTAATTAAATAATGAATGATGGTAATATAAAGAATTATCATTAATCTTAAGAGATGATAAGAAAATAAGGAAATAAATAATAAAAGATAATTTAGAATATGATTTTTTTTTTATTATATACATAATACAATATGATTACATATCTTTATATATCTATATATATTCAAACAATATGATTTTAAGATGTTCAATATATTTATTTTTTGTTTACTAATGTTTTAACAGTTTTATATAAAAGGATGTTTCGTTATTGTTGCTGTGATGAATATTGAAGTTGAATTTTAATTTTAATTCGTCCTTCTGGTTTTGTAGCCTTATATTGGAAACCATGAGAGATGAGAATATGGAGTTCAACTTGAAGGAGATTTCTCCAAATATCGGTGCCAACAACTTAACAGGCAATGGGGGAATCAGAACCAGCGGTGACCTCGTTGAAATCAGTCTCTTTTTGTTTGTGAGGATTTCGAGGGGCAGAGATTTGGTAGGATATCGTGATCCTTACGTTGAGGTCAATGTTGGGAGGTTTAAAGGGACAACGCTATGCATCAAGAACAACTCGCACCCTGAATGGAACCAAATCTTTGCCCTACACCAAACCCAAATTCAAAGTGAAGACACTCTAGAGATTTTGGTGAAGAATAATGTTCTTAGGCATGATCAATGTATGGGTCGCATTTCATTTGCTGTTTCTGATATTCCTACACGCTTTCCAACCGATGGTACACTTGCTCCACAGTGGCATGGACTAGAGAATCAAAGGGGTGTAAGGTGCAGGGGAGAGCTTATGCTGTGTACTTGGATTGGAACTCAAGCTGATGAGGCTTTTCATGAAGCTTCACATTTGCATTTAGGTGCAACATCGGTTGGTATTTACAATGTTGCCAACACTTGTTCATGTATTTATCTTATGCCTAGGATTTGGTGTCTTAGAGTTTATTTGATTCAAGCCCGTGACCTGTTAGTTGAAGATAGAACTGAGTGTTCTCAAATTTTCATCCATGCTACGTTGGGGAAGTTAATCTTCACAAGCAAGTCGGTGATGAACAATGATGGTAACCCTAAATGGAATGAAGAATTGTTAATTGCAGTGGCTGAGCCGTTTGATCAAATGTTGGTGTTGAGTGTGAGGCAAGGAACATTAGGAAGTCACGAGAACATAGGGAGGTGTGTGTTACCCGTAAAGAATGTAGACATGAGAGTGGATGAGTCACCTCCACGTACTAGAATCTTTGGTGTTAAAAGGAATGAGAGATTTGTGGGTAGACTTTATTTGAGGCTTTCTTTGGATGGTGGGTATCATGTGTTTGATGAAGACCCACTTTGCAGCAGTGATATGAATCCAACGTCTAATGCACTGTGGAGACCCAGCATTGGTGTTTTTGAGATGGGGATATTGAATGCCACGGGGCTCCCAGCCATGAAACCAAGGCATCGTACTGATGCCTATTGTGTGGCTAAATACGGCTCAAAATGGGTTCGGACAAGAACTGTTATCAATAGTCTTTGTCCTAAGTGGAATGAGCAATACTCTTGGGATGTATATGACCCGTGTACATTCATCACGATTTGTGTGTTTGATGATGTTCAGGTTCATGTTCAAGAAAGTGGTATAGCTGCAGGAGCAATAGATGCAAGAATAGGGAAGGTGAGAATTCGTTTATCTGAACTTGAAACCAACAGAATTTACTCCTATTTTTATCCACTTGTTGAGCTTCAACCTTCTGGGCTGAAGAAAATGGGAGAAATTCAATTAGCTTTCAAGTTTTGTTGCCCGGATATGATGAGTATTTATAAAGTGTATACATTACCTATGCTCCCTACGCAGCATTTTGCTAATCCATTGTCTCTGACTCAGTTACATGGCTTGAGGAAACAAGCTGTGATGCTGGTGTGGTCAAAGATGAGCCGAACTGAACCACCACTGAGAAGAGAGGTTATTGAATATATGCTAGATTCTCATGAAATCATGTGGAGCATGAGAAGATGTAGAGCTGATTTTGAAAGGATTAACACTTTTTTGAGTGGGTTGGTCGGTTTGTACACTCACTTTGATGAGATACGTAATTGGAAGAATCCTATTTCAACACTTATAGTTTTATTGCTTCTCTTTGTTGTGATTGTTCATCCTCAACATTTGCTGCCCACAATGTTTTCCTATCTTATCCTGCATGTGCTCTTGCAGTATCAAACGAGGCCAAGAAATCCATCTCATGTAGATCTGCTATTGTCTCATGTGCACACAACAAGTGTAGATGAGTTGGAAGAAGAGTTTGACCCAATTCCATCCAGATTCGGAGACAACATTATAAGGAATAGATATGATAGATTAAGAGTTGCTGCAGGGAAATATGTAGCACTGATGGGTCATTTAGCTACAAGAGGAGAGAGACTCCAATCTCTTTTGAGTTGGCAGGATCCAATAGCTACAATATTGTTTATGATTTTGTGTCTCATAAGTGGGATTGTGACTTTGATTGTTCCTTTTAGAGTTATTGTCTCTGTTTGGTTGATTTACTTGCTAAGGCATCCAATTGTACGTTCATCCTTCCCTACACCTTTTGAAAATTGGGTAAGGAGGCTGCCTTCAAAATTAGATAATATGATATAAGAGTGCAACTCTGGTTCCTGTTTTTTACTTTTTAGAAGACTCAAATGTATATGCAACCTGCATAGTTTAATGTTAATTATTAAGTATTCTATTTGATTTTATTCTCTCACCAATTTAAAATTGCTGTGTTCATTCTTTGATTGTGATATGCTTAGAATATATCTTATGCCCAATGTTCTTAACTGGATTCTTATGTTTAGAAGCCAAGAAATTTTTTAGATCTTGTATGTTAATAGAGAAAAGTATAGCTACAAAGTTGATATTTTGGGTGTTATGTATTAATTAAAAAAACTGTATGTAAAAAAATATGATTTAATAAATTATAATAACAAATTATTAAAAAATAATATCAAATACTTCATTATACTATTAATTAAAATTTTGTGTTTATTTAATTTTTTAATTGAATTTTGTACCGTTTGCCAATCGTTTATGATTTTAATTAAGAATGAATAATAAAAAATTTAAATATATATTATTTTTATATAATAAATAATTAAAATAATAATAATAATTAATTTACATAAAAAACATAACAGTAAATTTTAAACCTAAGTAATAAAAATATATTATTTTATTATTCTCATAAATTTTTTAAAAAATATATAAATATTATTATAATATTAAAAAAAAGTTAAAAAGATCATATTGCTAGTTATTAGATAAATTATTTAAAGATGATTAATTAACCGTAACAAGAGTTAAGAAAATCGTATTGATAGTTATTAGATGAATTATTTAAAAATAATTAGTTAACCATAACAAGAATTAAAGAAAATTGAATAAAATTGAACATTACTTATCACAACTCTTTAATAAAGTAATTTTATACTTACCTAACAAATAGAAAATAAAATATTTAAAAATAATTTATAATTATTTAATTATAATTTACTGATACATAACTGAGAAAAAGAAAAGGAATATAAAAATAAAAAAATTATTATTGAAGGATGTATTACTCGTAAAAAAATATAAAAACTAAATAAATTTATTGAAAATTATCAACTTATAAAATATAAGCATTTAAAAATTATTTCCTTTAAAAATAATAAAATTTTAAGAGAATTAAGAAATATTTATTTCTAAAATGAAATTAATATTTTCAAGTGGAAACCTGTTTTCCTTCCAGATGTTTTGAAGCTCAACCGTTTCAAAATAGAAAATAAAAATCCTTTTAGAAATTAAGAATCAATTTTTTCTAAATTAAATTTTCTTTTCCTGAAATTAAGATATGTTTATACGGTACAGATATGTTTTCAATTTATACCGATATATACTGTTTAAATAAAAATTTATAACTTTTATTATTATTTTTTTGATAGGCAAAACAAATCTTATTAAAAAAAGTTCAAGGGGAACTCAAAACCCATATACACAAAAAATTACTTATTCAGAGAAATAAAAAGCAAAAATATACTTATGCAAAATTAAGACAGATGCAATTTCGTGGGTTCAAATACCAATCAGCTAACATAATAGCTTCTCCCTTACTAACAAGTGATAACCATTTCCAGGATCTCAGAATAATAGAATTTAGGACTTCCCTCTCATCCAAAACACCATTGGAAAATATAATTCTATTTCTATGCAACCACAAAGACCACACTGTACTTACCCAAATAATTAATAAGCATATTCCTTCTCTTTTACTACAGCCAACACGCAGTAAAGTATCAGATTTGAGATGAAACTGAGCACGTTAAAAATAAATGAGTTGGAAGTTCCTCCAAACCATGACAGAAACAACAAGTTATATCATCAACTTGAACACCACGATCAATCAGTAAACCTTTACAAGGAAGTGCATTCAACAACAATTGCCAAGAAAAAACCAAACACTTAAGAGGGACCTTCCCTCTCCATAGCCTTTGCAAGACATCTGCCGTACACTGATCTACACTATTAAGATCACCAAAAAGTTCAAATAGCCATGAATACGCAGATTGCACTGAATAACAACCTGAAGAATCTACCCTCCATACCCATTTATCTTCTTGTAGTAACTTAATAGAAACTCCATCCACAAGCTCCAACAAAAGATTAAAGCTCGAGATCTCATGTTGAAAGAGTCCTCTTCGCCAACTAACATTCCAAACCCATCTAGTGCCATCATGAAAACCATTCTCCACTACACGTGATTCAGCATTTCTCGCCACTGCAAATAAACGCGGAAATGCTTCATACAATCGCACCCCTCCTACCCACTTATCTCTCCAAAAAAGAGTGTGTAAACCTGCACCCACACTTCTATCAAACTTCTCATCCAGCCATGAATTCCCTTGATGAATAACCTCCAGCAAATCATGCCACCACAAAGAACATCTGTTGTGAACTGATGAACGCTGAAGAGAAGAAGCTAATATTCCATATCTAGATTCCAACACCCGCACCCACAATGAACTAAAATAGTTAACACCTCGCCACAACCATTTACCAAGAAGCGCCGAATTAAACCACTACACATTCCTAATGCCCAAGCCACCATTCTTCCGCGGTCTACATACAGTTTTCCATTTCACCCAGGGGATTTTAGATCCATCCTTAACACCCTTCCATAAAAAATTCCGTTGGATAGTGACAATTTTCTTTATTACCGACTTCAGCACCTTAAAAAAGGATAACGAGTGCAATGACATAGAATTAAGAACGACATTAATCAAAGTCACCCTACCTCCAATCGATAAATACCTATGCTTCCATGACGCTAACCGCTTTTTAAGAGCCTCTAACACACCCTTCCATGCACTAGGCTTTCTCGGGTTAACACCTAACTGTAACCCGAGATACTTTAATGGGAAACTACCAATCTTACAATGTAGGAACTCCGCAGCCAAGTTTTCAAAGTCATCACCAGTGTTAATCCCCAATACAAAAGATTTATGGAAGTTAATTTTCATACCTGATATTAATTCAAAGTTACGCAATACTGCTTTCAAAGTCCACAAATTCTGCACCGAAGCCTCTCCTATAATCAATGTGTCATCCGCAAACTGCAGCAAAGAAATATCTGGTCCCCCTTCCTCAATTGTCATACTAGAGAACAACCCACAAGTCACTGCCTTCCGCATAAGAACTTTTAACCCTTCCGCTGCCACAAGAAAGAGAAAAGGGGCAAGAGGATCCCCTGTTTTAGGCCCCGCTCAATATGAACCTCCAATGTAGGACAACCATTAATCAAAGCTGATAGGCTTCCCCCCCACACACAAGCTTCCATCCAACTGACTCATTTGTCTGAAAATCCAAAGCTACGTAACATAAACAAAAGATATCCCCACTCTATCGAATCATACGCCTTCTCATAATCAAGCTTTAACACAAAACACCTCTTATTATACCTCCGCACATAATCAACTGCTTCATTAGCCACAAGTACACTATCTAACATGTTCCTTCCCAGGATAAAGGCTGATTGTTCTTCTGAAATTATTGAATCCAAAACTCCTTTCAACCTATTTGCCAAAAGCTTGGAAACAATCTTATAAAGATAACCTAATAATGAGATAGACCGAAAATCAGATATCTGTTGTGGGCAAGACACTTTTGGCACAAGTGCTACAAAATAAGATAATAAAGACCTAGGTAGCTTCTTATTTCTACAAAATTCAGTAAGCATACCCATCACTTCTTCCTTGATCACTCCACAAAACCTCTTAAGGAACACAAAATTGAAACTATCAGGCCTCGGACTTTTATCACCTTCACACTCCAAAATCATCTTTCCCACTTTCTCCTCCGAAAAAGCATTAACAAGCTCCTCATTATGTAAAACAGAGACTCTTGGTAAATTATTAATATCAATAGTAGGTCGAAGCCAACTTCTACTACTAAAATGAGCCGCAAAATAGGACACCACACCTGTTTTAATCTCATTAACCTCTTCGACACATCTCTCTCCAATTTGAAGCGCATGTATATTATTTCGTCGCCGCCTCCCATTAACACATAAATGAAAGAACTTTGTATTTAAATCACCCTCTTTCCCCCATCTCACCCGAGCTTTTTGGGCTATGAGACTCTCTCTATTCTTCCTAGCCTTCCAAATATCACCCACCAACATTTGTTGACGCTTCTTCTCCACATCAGAAAGTTCTATCACAGAATTTTTATCATCAATCAAGCTCAACTCAGTTGTCAAATCAGAGATCACCTTATCAACATTTCTAAATACCTCAATATTCCATTTTTTCAATGCAATCTTAACATTCCTTAACCTCTGGTTAGCTCTCTGGGCAGCCCATGGGAGGGTAATATCTGTTTTTCACGCTTCCTCCACCACCTCCACAACTTCTTTATGAGTCAGCCAACAATTATTAAATTGAAATGGCTTCGGACCCCAGTTAACCACTTTGTGCTTAAGAATAATGGGACAATGATCAGACACATCTCTGCTCAGAACCTGAATAAAACCATCTCTCTAGTAATCAAGCCAGGAACTAGAAACAAGGACTCTATCCAGCCTGCTCATCATAGAAGCATCCCTTTTTATCCATGTAAATTTTTTACCCACAAGTAGAAGATCTACAAGTTCCATTTCCTGAATGAAAGAATTGAAACCCTCCATTTCAGAGATACCATAGTCTGCCTGACAACCCTTCCTCTCTGTCACTTGTCTCACAGCATTGAAGTCACCCAATATACACCACACAAATTTGCCAAGACCCTTTCTTGTCATGAGCAAATCATCCCATAACTTTCTCTTCTCACTTAGTCTACACGATGCATAGACATTCACCACAACACATAGGTTTTCAGTAGCCAATACCTGCAAGCAAACACCCAGGAATCCAGTACCAGAAAAGGAGAAAAGTATTTTACATTTGGAAGTATCCCAAAGTGAAAGCATACCCCCACTTCTGCCAATGGAAGGCAAGGCACACCAATCAAAATTCACAGAACCCCACAAACGCGTACATAAATTACTATTACATATTTCAAGTGTTGTTTCCTGAATCGCCAAGAACTCCAGATCTTCAGAGCGAACAATATCACATACCTTCTTTTGCTTTATCGCACTCCCCAGCTCTCTACAATTAAATGAGCCAATCTTCATTTAGTATCAAAGCGAACCCCATATTCTTTCGCAATCGTTCTATCACGTACCTCCATCTCAATCAATTTCTCTCGAACCTGCTCATCATATATTTTAATATATATTTTAATATGTTAACAACTGTATTTTTTTATTCTCATCGTTCATTCATTCGTTATGCATGATATTTGTTTTACATATTTTTCATATATTTTTATTCTTTAATAAATAAAATGATATAAAACTATAATTTAATGTATTCTATCAATTTATAACTGTAATTGTCTTATCTTATTTTAATTTTATGAAAGTGGTAAATTTTAATCTCAAATATTATTTGATTTTATAATGAATTTATTAAATAAAATAAGTAGTAAAGTCATATTTAAAAATAAAATTATATATTTATTATATTGATCACAACATTTATGTAATTTAAAAAAATTGTTTAGTAATTAATAAAATGGTTGTTCAAATAATGAAAATAAGCAAAGGCGAACACAACTAGTTGTAGCAAAATTGGTGGCTCAAAATTTCAAACATATATGATGGAGGATAGTAAATAAATAAATAAATATCAAAATATCTAACTAAATATGTTGATTAATATATTACAAAATTGCTTATTTTCTATATAATTATTTTTTTAATATAATTCCTATGGGTTGATGGAATGGTCAAAACAAAATCTCGTACCTACAGATTTTTTTTGTCAAAACAAATTTTCTTGAATGATGTTAATTATTAAAGAGAGAAATATATATGGAAAAAAAATTTCTTACATTAGTGTAAAGTTTAAATTTTTTTATATCTAATTTGAGTCTTTCATTTAATTTAAATTTAATAGCAAGTAAAATAATAAATTATAATCTGTTATATTTAAATTAAATGAAAGAGTACTCAGATTAAATATAAGAGTATTTAGACTTATACCAATATAAAAAAATTATTCTATATATATATATATAAACAAAGGTGTGTTTATACATGTAATGTGCCCCCAAGATTGCGTGGGGCTGCTTATGATTCTTTCGTGTATGCATCATGCATGCTACTTCAGATGTGTAGTCATGTGCCCATTTCATACTTATAATTTGATTTAAGATTTGAATTAGAATCCGTAGTACTTAAAATAATTAGAAAAATATTTTTTTAAAGTATAAATAATGACTGATTTACTTAAAGGTCGTTAAAAAACGGTCATTAAAATTATTTTCTAAATCAATCACAAAATAGACTCTAAAATAATCGCAAAAATCAATTTCTAAATTGATTACAAAATTTAGTGTTTAAATTAGTTACAAAAATTAATAACTAAATTTTAGTTTTTAAATTATATTCACTAAATATTAACGACCATATATTTTCGACACAATAAAAAAAAAAACATATATTTAACGACTCATTAAAATTAGTTAATAATTCAGTTGCTAACATATTTAGGAACTATTTTCGTCATTGAGCGACCAAATTGGGTTGCTGATACCTCATTTTCTGATAATTAACCTATCATTCTAATCATGATTTTAAACAATTGTTTTTTGTCATGATAACTATAATCTACTAGCTAGATATATCAAGTTTCACATAACTTATATATTTAGAAGTATGTTATTTAAATTAAATTTGACATTACTTTATATTTTATAAAGTTAATTTATTAATAAAAACTTTTAAATCAACTGTTAAATGGATTAATTTTACATTTTATAAAAATTTATGAAAATATGTAAATATTTAAGTTTAATATTTAGTACCAACAAATCTTAATTTAAAATAAAGTAATGTGATAAGATGCTTATTCATTTTATTTAATTAATTTTGCATTATATAAATTAAAATATAGTAAAATGTGTAAAATGTGAGAATCCATTCCCCAGCCCCACAAAAAAATAGTAGCTTGGGCAAGGCGACCTATATCTATCAACTTCGTGTCTTGATTATGCCAATTGTTTTGTGTGATCATTATCAGCAACCCCACTACTCCCACAGACCTGAAATGGTTGGAAGTCACAAATTCAACTCATTCTCTTTGATCCAAAAGGAGGGGCAAGGGATAGACGAATAAAAGTGTAGGGGTTAACATTTTGCCAACCCTTTTCTCATGCGAAATAGAGGCCACTCTACTTGAAAATATGATTCTGATACCTCAAGAATTTGCCATAAAATATGATTCTGATACCACACACGCTCAGTTTAAATTAACATGCCGTGATAGCAGATACATTAATCATTAATTTTCTGTGCATACATCAAGGTCTCAAATGCTTTTGCTGCGATCCTCGAACCTGTTTCAAAAGGAAATATCTATATTTTTTTTAAGATTACTTGTACAGAAATTCACTTAAGGATTTGGGTACCCTTTATCCAAATTGGTGAATTTCCTTTCAGTTGTTAATTAGGAAATTTAAGATCCTCTACTGCATGGGTCAGCCAAGTTTGAGGCATATTTAAGAAAGACGGATGAAAAATTTAAATTTAACTTCATCCTCTTCCAACTTAGAAAAATCTGAAAGAAATTCATCATGTCTTTTGTTTACAGAAATTAGTTTGCACGTATACTTTTAAATAAATCATACATTAACTACATTAATAAACAAAAATTATGAAAAAAATAAGACTAAATTATACTTTTTAACATAAGAGTAATTTTATTTTTTTAATAATTATCATTTAAATTATTTAAGTATATAACAATTAATTTATATTTTATTGTAATACTCTTTTTAGTTATTCTATTATATGTCCAATGAAAAACTCTTTCAATCAGTTGCGTTTCTTTGGGTTTCTTCTAAGCTTTGGGTTCAACCTCTATCACAAGTACATTGTTGCGTTACTTTCCTTCTTCTTCCACAGATCCTCTTTGGGTTTCCTGCATTTGAAGTTTCTACTTGTGGGTTGTGTTATTGATAGAGAGAATTTGTGGCTCGGCATCAGCTTCTGGGAAGCATCAACAATAGGCCTTGGGAAACATGACTTGTACGTAAGCAACACATTTTCTTTTCTAAAATTTACTAAATAAAGGGTGATATGCCTTACATAAAAAATGAAATAAACTCTTACAACTATTTAATAGGTCTCACATAAATTTTATTTAATATAAAAACACATGCAATAAAATGATTTATCATATAATATATTAACATCTATATAAAAGAAGCAATGGATATTGAAGAGGGTGGAACATGAGGTCTATGGCTCTCAAGTTAAAAGACAAGTAATTGTTAAATAATCTATAAATAAGTTGTCCATATATACATTGATATCTTAATAATTTTTCTTATTTAATAATTGTTAAATAATCTATAAATTAGTAATTGTTAAATAAGTTGTCCATAGAAATACTTCTCAATTTCCTTATGATAGAGCATGAGACAATATTTTTGTGGCTAGGTGAAAGGAGTTAATTTGAAAGAAATGCATCATTTTCACTAATTTTTTTTAATCTTTTTTCGTCACATCATCAGTCTAATTACTTATCTCTCTCTTTGAATTATAAATATACAATAACAAATTTATTGAAGAAGTAATATTTTAAAAAAACAGAAGAAAAAACCGCTCGAACTCAAGTTTTTAGGTGTCAAAATCGATTATATATGTGTATAATCATTATTAAAGAAAACTTTTCATATAAATTATTATGTGCGACTCAACTCAAGTTGGGCCAAATTTTGTTGTTGGGTCAGCGAACGTTGAATCGTGACGGTCTAAATTCTAATGAAATTGGACGGTTTAGGGGTTAAGAGCAGTGGTTGGGTTGCGTGATTATTATACAATACAAGAAGAATCTATGATTCGTGATGCGTGTGAGGAGCGTGGTTGCCATGCCTTCTACCTTTCATGGCTAAACTTAGCCTATTTTATATGCAAATTCCACCCGTTAACCATCACAATCAAACCTTTTTTTTTTTATTTTTTTTTAATTATATGCTTAGAAAATGTTTTATTAGATGAGACAAAATTCACTTTGGTATCTATACTTTGAAGAGGACAGTAGTTTTTTATTATTCGGTAAGAGATAATAAAAAAAACTCTTTAAAATCATTTTAATTTTTCATATTTTTATTAATGTTCAAACACAAAAAGAAACAATAATGAATGTAGGCATGGGACAGGATTGTCATTTCCTCTCTCTTTCTTTTTTTAAGGTTCTTTGGCTCTCTCTCTCTCTCTTAACTGAAAACGACCGGAAGCAACCTGTGGTCTGGGCGTGTATATATCCCTCTTTGTTAACAAACATTATTATTATTATTATCACATTCATACACCGACTCAAACGCACTTCTCCTTTCTCTATATAAACCTCTTTCTCTCTCTCTCTCTGCTTCCTTCCTTTTACTTCACTTATCACACTTTCATTCATTTATGCTATTTGCCTTTCAATTTCTTCTCTTTCTCTCTGCGTCTCAGCTGCAACTATGGTCGACCTTCAAACCGTTTGCTGCATGTGCGGTGACGTTGGTTTCCCTGACAAACTTTTCCGCTGCAACAAATGTCGCCACCGATTCCAACACTCGTATGCATCTCATCATCATCATCATCATCATCATACATCCATTCCCCATCACCCATCTTTCTTTTTCATCATAGAATAATCTTTAATTCGATAGATACATCTGACTACATCTTTCTTTCTTTGATTCTCATATCATCTAAGACATCAAGGTATATTTTCCTTTTTATATACATGGATCATATGATTCGTGTATATATATATATATATATATATATATATATATATATAATGAACACGGCCATCTTGTTTATATTTTCAAACATATATATATACACCTTGCATACAACATATATAAGATAAAGTTTTTTCTTTTAGTGTTGTTATTATTTTCTAAGGGGTGAATTGAGCGTGAAGCTTAATTGATTGATGGATTGATTGTTTTTCAGGTATTGTAGTAACTACTATGGGGAACTAGCGGAGATAGAACTGTGCGATTGGTGTCAAAGCGAGGGGAAAAACTCGAGATATAGTATTATCGGCTCCAATTCAAAGAAACCGGTGGTCGGAAACGACGCCGGAACGACCCAGCGATCTGAATATTCCGGCGAGAGGATCAAGCATCACGATCGTGACGAGAATGGTTCGGAGAAGGGGAAGAGTCCCGTGCCTTCGCCGAGAACGGCCACACGGAGGTACAAGCTTCTCAAAGATGTAATGTGTTAAAAGAAAGGGAAAGAAACAACAACGCATCCTTAAGCAAGAAGAGAAACCAATATATACTATTAGTGTTAATTAGGTGTGTCAAAGTTTTCACTTTCTACGCTTAATACATATTGTAGTAACTTCCCATAGACGGTGTTTATTACGAGCGTTCTACTTTTTCGTATTAACTTGGAGTGCCCGTTTCATCAAATTGTGAATACAACTATGTAACTTGAATGTACTAGTCCCATAATATTTATGATATATTGTAAGTTGCAGGCTCTTTTCTCTACCTTTTCTTCCTCTTTTCATCATTTCCCCAGTTAAAATTGTTTCTTCAACTAAAATATCTAATTAGGGGTGAAATTGTAAAAACGAATAGAATCGGCGAAAAATAAATTTGCAGATTTTTCATGCTTTTCTTTTCTTTTTAATATTTTCGCGTGTAATGCATGGTACATGAAGTAGGTTTCGTGCATGAGATTTGTTAAGTGAAGTGATAGAAAAAAATCATTTATTTGTATCCAAATTTGAGACGCAAACAGTTATCAAACAGTAATTGGTGGTAAGTGATGTGCACGAGGATTTTTGGTTGGTATGGAACAAAAGTTTCACGGTTAGTGTTTTTTTTTTTTATTATTAATTTTATTTGTATTGGATAAGGGACAGATATGAGAGAGAGAGGGGGAGCAAAGGGTTTGACTGTCATGGCAGGGTTGAACTTGAACCTCTAATTTGCTTAGTTGAGTCTAAATTGAATGCACTGGGTTTCCTTTTGGGAGAAGAATTCATAGTACCTGAAGCCTGCTAACTTTTGCAGATTCATTGAAGGCCTTTAATTGCTAGGCCCTCTCTATTATTGTCCATGTCAAAAGAAAATGAAGGGTCTCGATTAGAAAGTGGAGAATTTGCACCACGCAAGCCAGATATAGAATCCGTACCTTGAAAGTTTATTTATTTTTTCTTTTTCTTTTTTGCGCTTTTTATTTTCTTTGAGATATGCCGTGCCACTTTGCAATATCAACAAATTTGGAATAGATAATGTACATTGTACGTACGTTAGCAAAGGGTTTTTCTAGTGAGGGTTTTTATTTTATTAATTCTTTGTAGAAAAAATTAGACAGCGTGTCGTGAACAGAAGTGGATTTTTTATTTTCCAATTGTGGTGGTCGTTTCTAGGCCATACATTCTATGGCAATATATTTTGTGACAAATTTGTATAGTGTTGAGTTGTAGCTTTTGTGAAATATCTCCAAAATACACACAAGTTGATAAATAAGGCATGATCGCCACGTAAGTGCCTGTTTTGACCATTTACTAGAAACCCACAAATTCCTTTTTCATTTGGACTTTTAAGGCGTGATGATAAAACCATCAACTCCATTTAACCTAAGAACTATTATGCATCTATAAATCCAACATTATAATTGAATTGCTTTGAGGGTGACACCTACACATGAATGGCACATGTAGCTACAGTTAATTGAGTTCTTAGGTAACTACTTCCTAAGAGACCATCTTGGTGTGTCAGTTGTATGTTGACAGCGGTGACGGCTCTCTTAGGCGTATCGGTACAAGTAACATTAGCTTTTTGTGTGTACGATCGCTTTTGCCTAGTAGCAATGAGACAGTCTTATCGTACCCCCCATGTTTTGACCACACCATTGGACCTCGTAGCTTCTATATGGAGGAGAAAAAGGCAGCCTCAGGATCAGCTCGAATTTTTAGTTTATTATATATCCATGCCTTTATGTTTTGGTTTTTACGGTGGGATTATAATTACATTGGATTGGAATCGTGATATTTAATGTTTAACACTTTTTTGTTATACATTACCGTATAGTGAAATATTAAAGTAATAAAATCAATTTTTTTTTATAAATCAACATTAATTATTTAATTTTTTAAAATTTTAAAAAATAAGTTGTTTTTAACCTTTTTTAATGGATGTTTTATTCGTTTTTCATACTTTTTTATTATAAAATCTTATCCAAAGATTTACTCAAATTAGGTTCTAATAATTTTTTTTATTGAGACACTTCTAATTATATTTTCAATCAAAAAGTTATAATTGTAACATAATTAGATTTTAATTAAAAATGTTGAGCTTGTAATTAATGTTTAAAAAAGTTTAGTAGGATTTATTTTATAATAAATTTAGCATAAAAAAATCTTTATAATTTGTATTTATTAGTTGAGGGATGATTTGATTAAAGGAGAGTTAAGTCAATCACATCATGTGTGTTAATACGATCCAAATAATGTAACATAGCGCCTTTTCTAATTTTTTTTGACCTTGGTACAAAATGCCTTTCTTTTTTTTGTTTTCAAAACTTTCTCTTCTAGGGTATCATAGAAGTTGTGGGTCTCGAGGAATCAAGCTCTCCCTTCTTTTAATCCCATGGAGTTTGCTATTTCACTCCTATTTTCTTCTTCTTCTTTTCATTCATTTATGATGTGCAACTAAACTTCTCATGTTAGAGACAGACGAATCTTAGTTTTGATTTTATATGGATTAATTTTTTTTCTCTTCTCAATCTCTTTTCTCAGTTGGTGCAATTACTTCTATTTTGATTGGCTATCTAAGAGAATATTTGAGATTTAAATGCATGGTTGGAAAACTTGTGTTAAATTAAACTTGGAGTAATTACTTCAAATACTTGGATTCTAGGAATAAGTTTTAGTTATTAAATAATTGTTAGTGATTTTTTATACTTGATTCATAATTACTTAAGAATTGAGAGTTTTGGCATAAGTAAAGGGTTAGGAAACGAGTAATTGAATTATAATTAAATTATAGAAATTAATATTAAATGAGAGAACGTGAATTTGAGTTAAGAAAGAAATCAGTACATGTGAAAGACAGTTAATATAATTCTAATCCTAACTCTAACATTTATCTTTATTGTCTTATTTTAATTAAAATTTATTGTGTTCTTTATTTCATACTCCATACTTTAATTTTTATTTTACTTTGTTTTGTTAAACTAAAAAGAAAATAAAAAATTACAAACATTAATTTGCCATCAAAATTTATACGATGAAATTCATTTAGTTTAATGCTTTATTATCTGCTTAATCTCTTGGCTAGTCCAAATAGTAGAAATACAGGAAAAATTAGTATTTGAATGCAAGTCATTGAGGAAATAAGCGTCTTTGGTCTATCTAAGAAGTATTTTATAAAATGAAAGCATGCCTTAGGATGAAAGAACATTTATTCCTAAGATAATAGACATCACGTCTCTTGATTCACCCTTTCAAGTCAATCATCCATGAGCTCCTATTTTTCTAGTACATCATAAGTATATGAACTTTTAAATCCTAATGAAAAGTATTATTCAAACAAAAAGTCTTCTTGTAAAATGGTGCTGAAATAACTAGACATCTTCATTTTGGTGACGTGCATGTAATGGACTAGGTATGCTAGACTTATCTTGAGTTTAGTTTAGTTTTTTTTTTTTTATCCTCTTTGCTTTATGTAATATTAATAAAAGCATTTAATTATTTGTGGTGACTAAATTGAGGAAACAGATTGTTAACATCCATGTGTTTTTAATGGCATTTAAAAAAAATTATGACTTTACATTATTTAGTTATCTGAATTGCTTTATACGAAAGTTCTGAATATGTTTTTCATTGATACTACAACATTGAGGAAAGTTTGTAAAGGACTCTCATGTAACATACAAGAGCAAGAAAATAAAGTATTAAGAACATTCACCACGGGAACAAGGAGACCATTAAGAACATTAACTTATTTTGAGACAACATCAACAATTTAGAAATTTGGATATAGAAGTCATGTGAAAACATGGTTAAAAGTCTCTAGGATATCATTCGATAAGAGATTAGGAGATACATTAAATTATTGTGCATTCAACAACCTTTTTTCTTCTAAAATTCTAACATTAGAAGGAGGTTTGCACAAACCTTTCTTCTTCTTTTTTTCTAAAATTTTAACATTTTTCTATTTTTTTAATTTTTTCACTTTTTATATCGGTTAAAAAAATAATAATATAGGAAGTGCTTTCTATATCTGATATTTTGATAACCTATGTTAAAATGTTCTTGTTATTTTTAAAAATGTCACCATGCATTTTATTAAATTGATTACTTATTAATCAATGTAAAAGCTTATTGTAAAAATTATTTTTTGTATTAGTGTAATTTTTGTAGATTATTTTCCTTCACACTAAAAAAAATAATTAGTAATTCACTTTTTAATAATTTTTTATCGATATCATTATGTATAACACTCTAATTTCTTAAATAAATTTAAAATTAGTTTTATTTAAAAATTTATCTTTAGAACTTTTCTATTCTACCTTATTTACTTTTTAAAGTTCTTTATAATGCTAATTTTTTTTTTGTGTTGTTGTAGTAGCAATATCATATCTATGTCTAAAATAACCTTTAAACATAGAAAGGTTAAATGAGTTTTTTCTCCTCTGAACTAGCTGAAATTAAATGTTAATGGAGCACCTTCTAAAGCTAACAAATGTTTGTTTGGGCCGATATATATATATATATATATATATATATATATATATATATATATATATATATATATATATATATATATAGAGAGAGAGAGAGAGAGAGAGAGAGAGAAACCATTATATTGATTATCTAGTTAATATAGAGCTAGATCTCCCTCTCCTCTTTTTTCTTTTATAAGTATGGACGTTAGCAGAGTTTGTAGTTTTATAAGTTAGTGACTTAGTTTGTTTATTTTTGACTTGTAAAGTTTCTTTATATATATATATATATATATATATATATATATATATATATATATATATATATATATATATGTATATATATAATTGTTTTTTTACTTCAACAACTTATTGTTTGAAAATCTTTAATGCCTTTAGCAATAAATTAAAAATTAAATTAATATATTAGCAACAAATTAAAAATTTAGTCTCGAAATTAGTAGCCGCTAAACTTTTAGCAAATGCCTTTAGTCAATCCCTAATTAACTATATGGTATTTTCTTTGAAGCTCGTAGAGAGAATATATGGTCCTTTATAAAGAAAAGTTCTCACTTCAACTTTGGTTTTAATAAATCTTACATTGTTATCCCAAATCCCATGAAGTAAGGTACATGAAACTTAAGTTCAAAAAGCTTCTTATCTTATTATAATGAGTTAAAAATTGAAGTAAAAAAGAAGTGACCAAGAAGAATTAATGTAAGAATGATCTTTAAAACAAAATGTGTTATCACTGAATGCTTTTTGTGTATTTGGATTTGG